CCCCAAAACCCCAAAACCCCAAAACCCCATTGTGAAGATTTGATTAAATTGAGAGAGAAAAATTATAAAGTGCGCTATAATTTTAATTCAATTTAATTGTATTTAGTTTAAATTAAATTAGTTTTTTAAGATGTCAATCTCATAACATCTTCAAAGAATATGTTTTTGTTTTGATTAATCATTTCTCATTAAGGATTTAATGCCTGAATATATATTTTTAATATGCTCGTTTTCACTGAATTTCTAGCTAAGTTTTTATTCAAGGCTAAGGCCTTCGTAATTTATATCTAACTAATGCCTCTCCTTTTCTGGAAGGCTATTAAACTCTATTCTAGTCATTTAACTCTTTAAATCATTGGATTTGATTTCATTATGTTTAAGTATATCCCTTTATTACTGTGATTCTTTTTTCTATATTTTTAATTAATACTTCAGGTCATTTATCATTTCATATAATTTATCTAATTTTTACATCTATTCATCTTCATTGTTTACTTCATTGTCATCTTTAATCTGAATCAAATACTTTACATCTTTATACTATTTTTTTCTATTAATAAGAAATTCATTTTCCACAATTAGCTATAAATGTTCTCTTACTCTGTGATTCTCTAATGTTGAATTTACTCGATCATACGATTCACCCATTAAGGCAACTAGCATGTTAAGTAAAATGACAGTTGAAAATAAGGAGCTCAAAATAAATAAAATATACACAAGCGTAACATTATATTGTATTGAAAAGGCATCTAACTGAAAATCCCCAAGTGCCATTCTGTATTAATGCATAAATGCACCAATAAAACTATCGACAAATCTTGCATCCTAATTACCGATATCATTGTTATTAGATAAAATTTAAAAACTAGAACCAAATCCAACTATGGCCAGTAAGAATACGTAAATAAAATATCTAATGCTTTTTGTAATCTCGTTAATAGTTCTAACTATAGGAGCTGAAGAATCAAATATTCTTAAGAAATAAAAAAATCTCATGTAAAATATTAAATTGCAAACAGCCATGAATGGTCTGATAACTTATGAGTTTAACTGAATTAAATCCATAATTACAGTAGAAGGAGCTAATATTACTGTTATCATATCTAACATATTCCAGAATGATTTTAAATACTTTGCCTTGTGAAATATAATCTGTCTGTACTCAACATATAGAGTTTAAATGGTGAAAAGAAGGATGATAAACTAAATTATTTCTGAATAAATACTTGAATTTAAATTTATAAAACTATCAGAAACATCTCCATCTTGAGATTTATTATCAAGACTTTATAAATGCTCAAAGAAATAAGAGCAATATAGATTATAGAGTACCATATTAATAATGAATGGGAAGAATAGGTTCCATATTATCTTTTTCTTCATAAATTTCCATTAATATCTGACTAGCAATTATACTGTATTAATCCCAAAGAATTCCATATTTTCACTTTCTGATAGAGCGATTTGAAATTATATTCCATAATAAGATCTTAACATCCATCCAGCATCTAGGGCTTTAATAAGCACCTATCTTTATTATACTTCTTTATCTTAAAATTTTTCATAGAAAATCTTATCCATAAAAGAAGTATTATGAGCTTCAATAATATTATCAAGTGTTTTATGCTATTTCCTTTAAAAAATAGTTCTTTTTTCCATCTATGAAGTTTTGAAATAGCAAAGTTTCAAGTATGAATGAAATCCTTCATATTATAAAAGTTATTTGAAATTAGACTTTATTGCATGCACATTATTAAATGAAACTAGTGAAAGTTTATCAAGAATAAGTTTAATGCATCTCATATTTTGATCATCAATTGCTTTTTAAAGAACATTTTTCCCATTTTTATCCTACACGAAAAGCAAGTTTAAAAGATTACTATTAGTTTTCTCATATTTGTTTAACAAAAATTCTAACTAAGTATAATTTTCAACCGAAGTGTGAAGTTCTGTTTCATTATTAAAGAAATGAAATGAATCAGGATCAAATTATTAGTTTTTCAGAGTCAAATCATGTTAACTATCTATTTAAATCAAGGTAAAGTAGCTGTATGGTGTGTAAAATTAATTTTTTACCAAGAATAATTTATTATCTTAAGAAAATCTTGGGCCTGCAACGATTTGATTTTAAAAGATAGACTTCTCATCAATATTTTACATTCCAGTTTTATAGTAATAGAGAGGAATGCCCTAAAATGTATCAATTATTGATTCATTATCGAGAATATGTCCTTGATTACTGAGATCAAAGAATATTTAGGATTTTATTGCGCAATCAAAAGATGTATTTTCTTTTTCCTTTAATAAGTTATATTTGATGACATTTCCTTACTTTTAGTCCACAACTAGTTTGATAAATATGAAATAATATTTTTTTTCTTTTATAAACTCTTTATTATCTTCTTGCCTTTTTACAAAATATTTGGTCTCCCCTACTGCGTAAACTTACTGAATAAATGATTGCTAATCTAATTCATCAATTTCAAAACCAGTTTTTGACAATATTATAGTCTCCTCATTTTATAATTAGCTGAAATCTCCATAAAATATTTAATTTTTACTCCACATGATAACTTTCTCATTTGTTAGTAAAATATCATATGATTATTTTAGGGTACCATAATTTTGATCATTTTACTTGATGTTTATATCTTTGTCACCTTGTATAAACTACTGATTATAATGAAATTTCTGTTGATCATTGTCTTTTTACAATATGATTTGATATAATTTCGCATTTTTATCTTTTAGTCCCTTAATCAAAAATACCTCTTTCAATTATTACTTTTCCTTATTTTGAGTAGAGTTATTTTATTAAAGGATTCCAATCAAAATATCATAGTTGTTATTCATTTTGCATATTATTTTTTATTTTTATTTTTTGTATTATTTCAACAATTAGTCTAAAGTAATTTACTCTTTTTCCTACATTTTTCCAGATTTTATAAGAATATTTAAAGAGCTAAAATCAATTTATTCTTGTGGATGTAATTTAGGAGTATCAAAATTATCAACGTTGTTTTTCTAATTTTAAATTGTTTCACTTTTTGATATTAATCTCTCCTCTGGTATATTTGGCATTGTATCCATTTTTATTAATTCTTTCTTGGGCACTTTTACTAACTCGACTATAATGTATTTGTCAGAACTTTCATCATCAATAAATTTTTAAAGGTATTTTTAACCATCTGGACTTATTGCTAGTGTCATTATATCTTTTTATTTTTTATCTAAATTGAATGAGTATTTATAAATCAATTAACATTTTAGATTGTAATGCTCTATAATCTATTCTTAAGGACAAAAACTGATAATGCTAGTGCTTTAATTAGTAATTTCCTACTAAGTAAAATCAATGAATTAGCATATTTAAGTTTTCCTCTTCTAATTATCAAATATAGAGAAATTATCAGTAATAAAAGGAATTATTATTGCTTTTTTCAGTTCAAGAGCTTCCTTATTAGTAATAAAGTAAACCATTTTTCTGTAAGATTAGCAAATTATTGGAGAACAAAATGCTACTTATTATTCATTTGAATTTATAATTACATTTTTATAGTGATGAATTTCAGGCTTTTCTTTATCAAAAATGATATTATAAAGATCATTGTTAGCAGGAATCATTGATCCTTAAAAATAAGTAACAGTTTGTAAATTTCCAATCAAAGTATTATCTTTTGTTGGAATTAGATATTTAAGTTTGCATTTTAATTCATCATCAGTTTTGTAAATCTTAATAAGATATTTATCACTATTGTCAGGTCTCACCAGAGTAAGTAGCTTACCTTCCTATACCAAAAAGTTAATCAGTCTACCGTCAAATTCTTCATGAAATTAGTAGGATTTTGCAGAAGAATGCCCAAACTTTATAATTTTAATAATATTTGTCTGTCTTTAGTGCTCATCTACAGTGTTGTACGCTATTATATTTTAGTTTACTTCTCTAATTTTATGGCATGTATCAACAACTATGACTTTATTTGAAGTTTTCTTGTAAATTTTGAAATCACTTAAGATTAATATGATTCTTTCTTTATTTGTATAGATTTCCTCTTTGTATGAAGGGCTTCTCACGAAAATCTAGAATATGCTTTTTTTATTAAGGTCTTCTTTTGTAATGATTGCTATAGGCAAATTTCTATCTTGAGCTGAAGTTAATTTTTATGTAGATCCATATCCAAACTGATTTATAGATTCTCTTGATGAAAAATCATTTTATTCAAATACTAGAGATTTGCATAAATCAAGATCAGTTTCAAATACCTGATATTTTGTTTCAGTCTAAACTACATAGTACAATAGATGTTGTTAGGAGATGAAGATATTAGTAATTTCACCTTTATCCTTTTAATCTTTATCTTTAAACTCAATGCAGAAAGCCTTTTTAGTATTGTATATGTTTTGAAATATGATATGATGTTAACCCTGAAGATAACATAAATACGGCCATTCAAAGATGTAACTTGAGCTTTCAAATAATCTTTAGCTGAAATTTTCTTTTTCATTGAAGTCATCATATTCATATATTTTGAATTCCTCATCATCTCTCGTGATTAAAATCCTAATTTTCATTTAATTCTCATCCTTTGAATGAATCGTCATTAAGTCTCGAATTTAAACAGTGCCTTCTCTAAATCTATAATAAAACTTGATTTTCTTAGATGAACTCTTGGAATCTTATATGGTGATACATTTATCTTAAACATTAGCAGTAGCTAATAAAAATTTATTTTCTAAATATGTAGTTATACCTCTACAAATCTTGCCCTTAAAATGATTCATATCTTTTTAGTGCTATTTCTAATTATCCTTAGTTCTTAATTATAGTAAAATATTTTGTTACGAATCGCAATAGATTGCTTAAGATTAATCTTTTGAAAACTTAAATTAGAAAGATTTAGAATCAAAGCTTTCTAAACTAATAGAATTGAGACCCTATCCTTTTACAACTTCATAGTATTCTTTAGGATTTATTTTATTAGGTGACTATTCCTACCTTTCCAAGACCTTAATCATCAAAGATAAACTCATGATTACAATATTATTTGCATCTTTTTTCTTTAATGCAAGTTTAGAGCTTTAAAAAATATTATCTTCATCTTAATCAACTATAGCTACATTTATTATGATTTCAAAAATGCTCTAAGGAATTCTAACCACAATTTTGGGATTTTCAATTATTTTTTTGTCTTTTATTAACTCATATATAGAAATGCTTTTTTTATCATTAATAATGTATAGATACTTAGAATCTTGACTGAATCCTATTTATACATTATTAATATCTTTGATATCTGTGAGAAGCTTGTCTTGTATACTGTGCAAAAATCCATTATCTCGCTATCCTAATACCTCTTTTCTCATGAAGAAATCAATTTAGCTGCAATCGAATATATCTATAAAGTATTTTTTATTCAAGCCTAAATTATTTTAATTATTGACTTTTTAAAAATCGATTTCTCTGAATATAGCAAATTTTTTCTAACTTTCTGAAAAATTTAGATTTTTTCTATACTAAATATCAATTATTCTTTGATTTTTAAAAAGATATCTATTACTTTCCAAGTGATAAACTTTGAAAACAAGCTTTCTGTTGTTTTCACTTATACTCTCATGTATTTATTAAAAATTAGAATCTCAGTTTCCATTTTAATCTAAATTATTGAAATCGCAAAAGTCCAAATTCATTGGAAAGATTTAAGTACTTAATGTTATCATATAATCTAGATCTTATTTATAAAAAAATGCCTCATAAATATAGTTAGCTGGCATCTACAAATTGATTCCATAATCTTTGATGAAGTCTGATTTAGAATTATTTTTATTAGATTTTGAAGATTCATCATGCATATTTTTTTCTATTTTATTTGAATAATTTCTTTGTTTCGGAGAAGATGGTTCACCTTTGATTTCATCATAATGGGCAAATATTTACTCGGAAGATATGTTCATTTTTAATTAATAAATATAATTTATTTTATTTCAGCATCTTATATACTAAATTAAAAATTATTTCACCGCTTTTTTGTTAAATTTTAGATGGAGGGGTTTTGGGGTTTTGGGGTTTTGGGG